CATATGAATCAATATCACTATTGTTGGCCTACTGTCACGGCCATCTCAACGAAGCCAAGAAACTTGTTAGCTTGTACTTCCTAAATCCTAACCACGCTAGATAATGAGAGAAATTTATCCAACCCTATGAAGAAGATTGCTTGAGGTTGTAGATGGAGAAACAGGGCAGGGTGAGGCAATAGAAAACTCTAGTACTATCGCGTTTCAGAACACGGATGAATGTTTCGAAACTCCCATTTATTTTAAAATAGTTGATTACATGAAATCTAAATGACACATGGGGAGTCCTGATTGTATGACAAATTTTGTTGACTTAAAAGATGACAATGATGAGTCATACCTCTATATGGTTTTTTTTCCCTTCTAAAATGCCGCATCAAAGTCCATGCTTCTCCAAGCCTAATAAAAAGAAAAGAAAAAGCTCATGGCTGCGTTTGATGTGGTGTCCGTCGTGCCTCCATCTGCTTTGGAGTGTTTAACAATTAAACACTACTAGTAATAAACAAGTAGCAATTAGGGCATTCACAAGAAGCAAATCTTTGGGCAAATCTGAGGAGGTGGAAGGTCGGTAGGAAAGGACTCTTGTGTGACGGGTTTTCTTTTTGGTCGCCCCTGTGCGCGTTTCTCCTTGGAACGGAACGGAAGTGAATGGGTCAAAGAAAGGGCAGGCTCCCAACCAAAGAGAAGCGTAAGCGCACATGCCAGTGCGGAATCCAAAGGCAAGGATAGGGATTGCCTGCCCTGCCCTGTCCTGTGCCGTGACAAAGATAACCACACACACACAGCAAAATATTGCAACGACGTTACATGTGGTGAGGTAGGGCATGATCTAACATGTCAGCTTCAGCCACCTGGTGCGCATCCATGGCGATCAGGACACAAGGATATATCCAAGTAGTCATCAGTTCTAAAATAATAGTATATATCTCATTTTTTATATAAAAATTGTCTGGGGCCTGTTTGGCAGGAATCTAGATTCTAGTAGAAACTTTTCAGATACAGATTTTCTCAAGAAATATTTCAGATGATGAATCGTAATTGCTTCGTGAGGTCAAGTTTTATTTTGGTAGGTTTGGATTCAGATTCGCAGAATATTATTTTTCATAAAAATTATATAAATGAAAATATTCCTCAAAATAATTCAAAACTTTTATATATAGAATAACTTATAAATACAATCTGTTTTAATTTATACCACTTAAATGATTATTAAAAAATATGGTTGCTAATAAAGAGGAGGGAGCAAGAAATAGAATCCATGTGAAACTACCCACAGGCCCTTTCTATTTTTACAAAGAAAACCTAAAACGTTTCAGCTCTGATTCTGAACCCCATGCCACAATATCGTTTGGAAGCGTTCCAACTGATTCACTGATTCTAGAGAGAAACGGATCCGGTATCCAAACGTCCCTAAATATATATAAAAGCATTAATATAATATTTATGATGAGTATCATTACATTAATAGTGCAATATATTTTTATAATAAACATATTAAGAGATATAAACGTTGATAACATTGTCGGTAAATCTAGATATTTAGTTAAACTTAAAAGGGTTTAGTTCCACAAAGAGATGTGTAGTTATTTTGAAACGGATCGGTATTTTTTCCCCCTTTAGTGAAGTCGTTTCTTTTTCATGTCTGAGAGTATTTTTTTTCCATCAGTGAAGTCGTTTCTTTTTCACGTCTGATCTTTTGTTTGCATCTGACGGAAGAACCGGAGAATCCTAGGTCAAATGGGACAAATAATCTTGCAACAAGCGTTCCAAAGAGAGCCGAAAACTACCAAATTGTTATCTAGTAGTAGTTTCCATCATTTTCAAGACATATAACGCTAGAGTAGAAGATGAAGCTGGGGCACAATAGCTGGCCTCCTTGGAAGAACTGATTGTGGATAAGGAGGCAAGAATGAATAATTGGGGTGGGGCCTTGGCCGGCTGTTTATGCTAATGGCCCTGCAACCACCACTCCCCGCCAGTGGAATCCACGCACCTCCCAATCCACTAGATGCACGCACATGTCTCCGATCACTTTGCTTATTCCAATTCTCCCATCTCCCTTTTTTGGGTGCTCTCATCGGATAAACGGCGGAGGACCGAATCCAGAATTCCCAAATTTTCCAATGAACAGTCAGAGTTTACATTTGGCCGTTCACTGAAATTCTGGTGGCCTTCACAATCCAGTTTCAACATTCAACAGATGCTACGAAAATAAAATGCGCAATTCCGGACGTCTGACTCTTGACTATCATCAATTTTTCTCATACATGTGCAGATGCGTCATCACAATGAAAAAGACGGCAGCTGAAAAGGCTGACCGTATGCTTGTAACATTGCATGTGAACAGCAAGCGGGTCAAGCGCCAAGACCATGGCATAGAGTCTATAGGCCGCAGTTGCAAGAGAACAAGAGACAATACCAAGGCATTGTTTAAATTGCAAATTTTACAATCTGGATCATCAGATGACATTTTATTTGTATTTGACAAACTTTGTCCGATTATAGACTAACTAGGCTCAAAGATCCAGATCGTGATTTACAACCAAATTGTGTAATTAGTTATTTTTTACCTACATTTAATGCTCCATGGTAAATGCGTCCAAAAATTGATGTGATAAAGAGAGAATAAAAAAACTTAGAATTTTGAGGCAATCTAACCAAGGCCGTTGCCCTTGGTAAATGATTCCTATCAAAGACTGAACACTGAAGGTAAAAAAAAAAAGGGATGTACCAAATATTGCTGATTATTCTATCTGGTATCTACAGCTTCCTTTGAAGAAGAAAGAAGAAAAGAACCAGCCGATACAAATCGAGCTACATGTCCACTCTACAATTATCCAGACATGGCTAACCTCTCCTACCGCAGGAGCTTCACTCATGGCATCAAGTGCAACTCTTGCGACTTCATGGGAAACCCTCCATTGGAGGTTCTGTTCAAAAAAGTTTGTTCTAGTCCTGGCAGCTGGTTTCCAGCTGCTCTTGAATGAGCATAAACGCATGATTGGACAAGGCAGGCATGGCAACAATTCATCAAGTGAGGTAAAAAATCACAGAGGAGTTAGCGCCTCCCGTTCGCCCAATTCCTAAGGTTATTCCTGGACTTCACCATCGGTTGTCTGTTTTGATGCTTGGGCTTTGGTATGTCACCCAGCTCCATTACTTGTATTGTGCGTTGCCTTTTGGCTGCACAGACAAAAGTATGGAACAATTTAATGAAACCGAAACAGTAGAGATCTACTAGTGACAAACAAGGATAATATTGATGAGTGATGAAATCAAGATACGAACCATTCTCTGCTTCCTGGTAACGCTCCTGGAGCCTTCGCTTTGCTGCTTCCAACTTCCTGTTATTATCCAAACCATCATCATAAACCTTTGGCTTTGCCAACTCTAGCTTGGCTCCTGCCGAAGATTGAGTGCCAAGCCTTGATTTCTAGAGAACGGAAAACAGATATGTGAGCCATGAGGTCTTAATCGTAGTCAAAACATATATGACTGGGTAGCATGTACTTACATCCATCTGGCTTGCCATGGGTTTTCTTTCAATTGCAATGTGCTCTCGAGTCTGTTTAGGTTTCATGTCACCAAATGGTCTCTGCTGAGAAGCTGCCTTTAATGGTCTCCCCGGCCCAGATTCAGAGCTTGAGGGATTAGATTGCTTGTTGAGCATGCCATGAAGTTTGGCTTGCAAACTTGAACTTTGGGGTTTTTGTGGGTTTGCTTGCCTCATTGGTGGCTCTTGTCTTGCTAATTCTGGCCTCCTGGATTGAACTTTTTCGACAACACCAGGAGAAGAACGAGGAGGCTCTTGCCTTGCAACTGCTGAATGGTTTGCAAGTCTCCCACCATTATTACCCCTCTTGCTTCCAAGACTCGACTCATTATTATGTCTCAAATCTGCCATCATATGCGCAACGTTAACTATCATAATGTTAAAAACAAGAAATAAGCATGGAATTAAGAACTGCTAAATTGTTGTACTCACTTCCATCTTCATCCATTTCATCAAAGAACTTCAGGTTGGAGAGACAAGAGAGGAAAAATAATAAACGCAGAGTCAGATTGTTGTTCAACACCAAACCCAATCAGATGGCAGGAATTAACTATATCAGTACCTCAGAGAGTTGAATAGAAGTGGTCTGGGGAGCAAAGAAGGCCCCTTCGTCTAAAGGTGGAGAAGGAAGCCCTTCTTCTTCTTCTTCATCCACAACAGAAGGATTTGAAGAGCCAGGGGAGTTCTCTACAGATCCAAAGAATAAATATCCATATTAAGCTAAGATGTGTCTTCATTTAGAAACTGTTAGATCAACTAAGGCATCAACAAATTCACTTCAGTTACCTGCCAGGGCAGCATTTGTAGTACTGACCCATTCATCAACCAAGACTTTCCAACCTCTGAAACACAAAACGTAATCTCATGTGTCAACATCTCCAAGAACACTAACAAGAAGGCATTTCGAATGATTATTATATGTAGCTAAGCTAGAATTGGTTCTTTGAAAGCAACTGTGAAGTAGCCCTAGAGACCAAAATTCAGTAAAAGGAAGATGGAACTTACTCAATGAGAGTGTGCACGAGGTGCCGAATCTCTTGTGAGTTGTGTTTCCATAGCCGATTAACAGCTCTTCCGATCTCAGTAGCCTGCAATGAACCGTCCTAAGATTAAGAGACTAAACAGCCAGAGCAACAAGGGAACGAAACACTGAGACACATCACATAGCTCATGTATGCAATATCAATTTTGTACCTTTAGCGTAGAGACAGACAATTGCATCAACTGCAGCCTCCTCAGTGATTCGAACAAAGTGGCATCCGACTGCAGAAACATCGCATTTTAGGTTAGACGAATTCGAAGTTACAAACTTTAGCAATTGAAGAAGTGAAGAAATGAGCCAGTACATGGTCTTCCTTGTGCAAGAGGTGTTCCTTGATGCGGATGACCTCGCCGACGATCTGTGACTCCTCATCGATCTCATTGGTGAGCGCCTCAAGCTCCCCAGCCTCGTCGTCTTCTTCCCCTTCTTCCGTATTATGATCCGAGGCGTGCTGCTGCTCATCTTCCTGCTGTTGGTCGTCGTCTTCGTCATCATCATCATCGTAACTGTGGCCGTAGTTGCTCGCCGCGGCGCGGCGGAGGCGCTCGTCGTCGGAGTCAGAGTCATCATCCTCATCGCCGTGGCCATGGCCGCCGCCGTGGGCACCGTTGCTGCTGCTGTCGACCTTGCACTCCTTCTCGGCGATGCGGCGCACGCTGCCCTTGTCCTCCTCGACGGGAGTGGCCGGGGTGGTGGACGCCGCGGCGCTGACGAAGGACGGCGGCGCCGGCGGCGCCGCGTCGCGGCGGAGCGTGGTGAAGAGCCTCTCGGCGATGTGGTCGCGGCGGTGCAGGAGCTCCCGCGGCGCGTCGGCCGCCGCCACGAGGATGGCGTTCTCGATCACGTCGCAGATGCCGGCGCCGGCGCCACGGAAGAAGTCGCGCCACCGATCCAGCCCGTCGGCCATCGCCGTGGCCGCCGCCGCCGGTCCCCGCCGGGCCTCCGTGGGAAGACTTCCCTGCGTCGCCAAGATCGGCCTCCCCCGACCGCGATTCCCACCAGCACAACCAAGAACCGATGCTCCTCCTATTCCTGCTTCTATCTTTCTTTCTTCTTATCAGATTATTACGCCACGCGCACCGGCACGGCACTAGCACCAAGAATCCAATCTCTCCCGCCCGTCCAACGGCGAATCAGATTCCCCCGAATCCGGGCCGCGGGGGCAGAATCACCAGCCAATCAATCGAAATAAGCGGAGGAACAAGAACAGAGCGAATCCGGAGGAGGCGGAAGGAATCGATCGACGAAGAAACCAGCGTCACCTTCCCTTGCCCCCCACCCCACGTCCCTGTTCCTTGACGACTTCAACAACCCCCCACCCGGAGCACAGGCGCGGCGCGGCGGTAGCCTAACCAAAGCAGAGCAAATCTATCTGGCCTGGCTGGCTGTCTGACCCCTGCGGAAGAAGGAAGCGGGAGGAAAGCCAGGAAGGTGGAAGGTGAAGTTGAAGAGAGAGAGAGGGCTGACGAGACGGGCGGATAGGGACGGGATGGCAGGGTACGCAAACCCACGAACCTACTCCCTCCGTCCCACGAGACCTAATCGCGGCCACCAAACACCGGCCAGCAACACCAGCAACTACTCCTCCCCCTCCCATGGACCATGCCTCGCCACCACTAGCAGCTGCAATTTGCAGTAACAAACTGCGAGACCTACGCGGCCACCAAAACACCAGCAACTACTACTCCTCCCCTCCCATGGACCATGCCTCGCCACCACTAGCAGCTGCAATTGCAGTAACAAACTGCGCGTTCGTGGCGTCACCGCCGCCGGCCCTCCGTTCCCTGTACCTTTCTTGTTTCTTCTATAGTGGAGTAGAAGTTCTTTTTTTTTTACCAGAAGAAGCGAAGGGCAGGACACGGCCGTGCTCAAGCCGCAGGGGATGGCGGAATTGCTGGGGAGAGAAGAGAGAGAGGGAGATGGGTGAGACGCGGCGGCCTCGTGGCTGCTTCTTGTTGCTTTGACGGACCCTGTCGACTCAGGGCGTCTGGGGCGTCCTTTCCGTTTGGTCTCTTTTCTTTTCTGTGTTGAGCAGTGCTCCTAATTAATTAATTAATTAATTGATTGATGATGCTCACTCACAAAGTCACATGGTGGCTTTCCATGATTATAGTTTTGTTGCATATCTGGATTTATTTACTATTTGAAGCCTATCTTTGTTGATCCATAATTGCAAATACATTTCTCAGTAAATGCGTATGAAGCACCAAAGATTTTTTCAGCGCTGCACCTGCACAGCATGTGAAAAATGGATGGAGTGGGGGAGTGGGATACTGATGTGAAAATTGGTGTTGATATTTTTTTATGCCTGTGTGGATACATTAGCAATAAAAATTAGCAACAAAAATTAATACTAGTGGATCTAAACAAACCTGCTAAGGGCTCATTTGGATCAACAAACTAAACTTTAGCTTGATAAATTTAGCGGCTAGGGATTCAAGCAGTCCAGCTAAAAGATCAGCTAAAGTTTAGCCTCGAAATTTTAGCTAGCTAAATTTTAGATAGGTGGATCCAGACAGGGCCTAATAAACCTGTTAATTATTAGTTAGAGGGCTACTAATTATTAGTTTCATTAGCAGATTTTGAGTTGTTAATAGGTGGTAATAGTTCATATGCACCTTCAACTCATTATCCAACCACCTATTAGCAGGTGGATCCAAATAGCCCTGGCTAAAATTAGCTAACTAAAAATTAGTAGCCATTAGCTATTAGCTAGCTAATTTTTAGTGTTAATGGATTCCAAACAGGACCTTATTCTATTTTTTAGATGTCGTATTACCTTTGTCGCAATTAAACATTTCAATCTTTAACCATCAATTTTAGAGAATCCATATCGTTTCACTACATGTAAATTACTATTTGTCATAGTGAATCTAAAAACATAAACTTATATTATTAACATGTATATTTTTTTAAAATTAATGGTCAAAGTTAAAAATATATTTGGCTTCGGAAAATACTAGTACGGTATAAAACAGAAGAAGAAAGGAAGTAAAACTAGAAACTAACCGTCATATTATTTTAGCTTTTTCTAACCACGCTTCTCCACGTAGCCTCATTTTTATACAAAACGTAGAAACTAGATCAGGGCAACTTATTTTGGCTGTTCTTCTTCGTTTGTGCAACTTTTCAGGAACCTCCTTTTCTAACCACTCTACAAAACATGAAATAATATATAAGGTGCCACTTTGACTAACATTATATAGAAACACAATATTGTCATATATTGAAAGAGTTATATATTGTCGAGTGTGGTTTAGACAGTTATAGTTAAAAGATAAAAAAAACTTAGAACAATCTTAAATGAACCTTTATTTAGACAAGCAAATATACACAAGCATAATGGGACATATAATTTGTTGTACGGTAATGCCAATGATAATAAACTAGCAATTTTTGTTGCGCTGAATTGGGGTTGGTCCAACCTTTAATTAAATAAATTCTAAAGCCCATAATTTCATATTAGTGTAATAAAGGGTCAATACCATATGAGAAATTAAAAGGATATTGACTCAACTTAAATAGACGGTTAATACACGCAACTGTTGTGCATTTATGGAAGATGGAAGACGAGACACACAATCGCGCGCAGCGCGCCTTGAACGGGCTTAGGTGGCCAATCCATGAGATGAGGTGCGATGCTAGTGGAGGTTCTGCAACCCCAAACTCAAAAGAAGAACGGTGAGAATAAGGGACAACAGACTAAGAGAAGTGTAAAGAGTTTTAGAGATATATTTTTTAATTATTAATATATTATTATATTAAATAAGTGGGAATAACTCTTTTTTGACATTTATGTGCATGTATAAATGCTGACATGTGCATGTTTAGGCAGTTTGCTGGTATTGCGGTGAAAAAATTGTTGCAGTATTAACCCTAATGCAATTATACATAGTATAAGTAGCGTCCGAGCAGTTAGTTCGTTACTGAAATCTTTGGCCTTAGCTGGCCCATAGTCTATAACGTCGAGCGTGGAGCCCGTGCACGTGTAGGAGGAACAGGCGTGACCAAGGAACCGCAGCCGACCACCCATAATGTAGAGTGCGGAGCCCGTAACACGTGTAGGGAGAGATCAGAGACTGGATCTTCTCCATAGAGAACAGAGCGGAACACGAGCTGCTCGGTGGTTGGCAAAATAACTTGGAGATATACGTAGTATTAGTGGCGTCCGAGCAGTTAGTTCTCTACTATGCTCTTGGCCTTGGCTAGCCCATAGTCCATAACGTCGAGCACAGAGCCCGTGCACGTGTAGGAGGAACAGGCGTGACCAAGGAACCGCCGCCGACCACCCATAACGCAGAGCGTGGAGCCCGTAGCACGTATAGGGAAGATCAAAGACTAGGTCTTCTCCATAGGGCGTAGAACAAGACGTGTGCTGCTCGGCAATTGGTGAAATATCTTGGAGATTTGGAGAAACATGGTCGGCGATTTGGAGAAACCTGTTTGGCGAAATACGTTGGAAATTTGGAGAAACGTGGAGGAGTATTTATGGCGATCACATGTTGGAGTTCATTAAGGAGTAGCTTAGAGCTCGGCAATCGTAAGTCGAAAATTAAATCGTAATGGAGAAATAATGGAGACAAATTATGGCGACCAAGACTTTATTCATCATGGAGTGGAGAATACATATCTGGAGCGTTTCAAGGATAGAAATGTATGAGGTGCTCGATGTGCCATGAATTGGGGATATCAATTCCATCCAAGTCACGTAGGCAATAAGACCTAGGTCGGTAACCTCTTTGACGACGTAAGGCCCTTCGCAGGGGGAGGAGATCTTGTGCATCCCTTCAGTTTTTTGTTTTCTATGGAGAACGAGGTTGCCGATAGTAAATGAACGACCTTTGATGTTGCGGTTGTAGTATCTTTGCAAGCCTTCTAGATATTTGGCTGTGCGGACGCAGGTGATCAGGCGTTCCTCCTCAGCCCTGTCGACGTCCTCTGTCCGAACAGCTGCGGCTTGCTCTTCATCATAATGTTCCACCCTAGGTGCTCGGAAGGCAATGTCCGCTGGTAGTATGGCTTCTGAGTCGTAGACCAAGAAATATGGAGACACACTGGTGTTGCGACTAGGTTGAGTGCGCAGTCCCCAGACCATAGCTGGTAGCTCTTTGAGCCATCTGCTCGGATGCTTTTCTTCTTTCTGATATAGCCTCTTTTTGAGGGCATCAAGGATCATGCCATTCGCCCATTCGACCTGGACGTTGGCTCTGGGATGGGCAACAGAGACGTACTTAACGGAGATGCATCGGTCTTCGCAGAAGTCCCAAAAATGATGACCAGTGAATGTGGTTCCGAGGTCGGTGATAATGCCATTCGGGAGACCGAATCTGTGGACGATATCTTCGAAGAGCTCGACTGCTTTCTTTGTAGTAGCCGAGACAAGTGGTTTATACTCGATCCACTTGGAGAACTTATCGATGGCGACATACACGTACCAGAAACCACCTGGCACTGGTTTGAAAGGCCCGATCATGTCTAGTCCCCAGCATGCGAAGGTCCAGGAAGCTGGGATGGTCTGCAGTTCTTGTGCGGGCACGTGTATTTGCTTGGCGAAAAATTGGCATCCTTCACAATGTCGGACGAGGTCTTCTGCATTGGAAATGGTCGTGGGCCAATAAAAACCAGCTCAGAAAGCTTTGCTAACTAGGTTTCTCGAGGCCGCGTGATTGCCACAGGAACCAGAGTGAATTTTGGGAAGTAGCTTTACTCCCTCTTCTTGGGTGATGCATTTCTGCAGTATCCCTTCCTTGGCACTTTTCCTCATGAAGTTGCCGTCCACCAGCACGTAATGCTTGCTTCGACGGATTAGGCGTTCGGTTTCAGTCTTGTCGATGGGTACTTTGGTGCTGGTGAGGTACTTGATGAACTATTCCCTCCAATCGGTGGTTCGCGGAGGTACCGTAAGTA